AAGAAATCGTCTCCTTTAATCTTACTTGTGTAGTGTTTATTTAAATAAAAATACATAGTTTTCGTAAAAATATTGTCATAAAATAATTTTAGATATCCGCAAAGTGGAATAAAACCACTTTTGTAAAAGGTGTACTAAAACGGATTTTTCAGTGGGTCATTTATACAGTACACTCCCATTGACCACGGTTTACTTCATTGAAACAATTAACAAATTTTCGATTGATGCACACTTGAAACAGATTTCAATACTCAGGTATTTTTCCTGTAATAGTTATATGTCTGGGAGGTTGTAAAAGTATCAACTAGAGTAACTCCCACTAATTACAGCGAACACATGTCACAGACTGAGATATAGTCTACTCTAAGGTATCCAAACACCTAAACAGCAAAGAACAACAAATCAACAGACATCTACTTTTGTTCTAGGCATCTTATCGATCTTATCTTTTATCATCTTATAGATAATTTACAATTCCACCAATAAATTCACCCCAATTGCCAACCTCAACGTCCCAACGGCACAGGTACCTGCATGGTTATCAATCACCTAGCAGAGCATACACTTACAGTCACATGACTGAACGATCTATTTATAGTAATGAATACCGTATCTGGGCTCGTGTTGGATCAAAGAAATAATTCAAACCCAATCCTAGCGGCCAGCGGTGCGTGGAGACCGGCGCCAGATGAACCACAGACGACGTAGAGTATTGAGTGACGGAATGAGACCAATCATCACATCACCCTTTCAGTAGCCTCGCACCTCGCGCCTGACCTAGGCTAACCGCACTCTCTGGTTACTGGGCTTACAGTCTATTACGATCGGTTACTGAGGTTAACTTGAAATATAAACTTCACCTGCCACTTCCTCTAGCTACCGTTCTGGACTCTGGCGCAGTTGTGTGATGGTGCTAGGATCACCAGGCTAGAAGAACAATAGTGCACCGCATAGAAGAGGAGAAAAGACTCAAATCGAGAGATGGCAATTCATTAACTAGTAGAATACAGTTCATTATTTTGAGTTTTTTTCCGAAGAGAACTTGGGAAATATGTTTTAATTAATAGAGTTAGTGAAACATCATACACAGAGAGTGGTATAAACTACTGTATTAATAAAATGATACGTATCAAATTTTCACTCACTAATCAATCAATCAATCAATCAATCAATACCTAATCACATCAAACTACTCGTGAAAGCCAAAATGTATCAATGTAGATGAAAACTGTCACAGTGGTACTTCTTAAGCTCTTTGTGTTGGATAACACGATGTTTGAAGACATTTGGCGATTAAGGAAAGATGATTTAGGATCTCCACATTTTGATACATCATAATAGGCATATGAGTAATAGGAAGTGTAAAAGCCAATCGAATGTCCTTGTATTGAGTTTAATGACTGTTTCTTGAAAACATTAGTTGAAAAAGTTCAAATTTAAACTTTTTAAACTTGTTTGGATCAAGCAGTGGTGAAGCGTAGACAGTTTTGGTCATTTGTCAAGATTTCTACATGAAAATCTTTCTTTAGACATATTTGGTACTGGAATAGGTATTCACATAGAATATCAAGCCAAACCAAAAAATCTTAATTCCTGCTGACCCTTGCTAGAAATAAAATCTCAGAGTAATTAATTTTGTTAGAGCTCTACTATTTACAGGACGATTCTGGCCATGGATGACATTGGCATTCCCGATGTTTAGTCCCTGGTAGTGACAGACAGGTGGCGCTATTGAGCTGTGACGTTTCGTTCTGTTACGTGCGCCGACCGACCTCAGGTGAACTCTTTACTCGGTCACAACGTCGTTGGAGTAATGGTTGTGGGTTCTGGTGGGCGAAGAGCAAGTACCCCTCGTTGGTCTCGGGTCATGGCGGTCTTTTGTTTTGAACAAGCCTTTCTAGAGACTCAGCTTTCTCGAGTATGTAAGTGGAGGCCTGCTTATACATTACATACTAGGCCTATACTACTTAGGGGGCTTTAGTTGGATTTCCTAAGGAAAGTTAAGGGTCTTTAAAAGAAGGCCGCCACCATTGAAAAATTGCCCCATTCAATTGAAGGTGGTGTAAGTAAGGTTCAGGCCAGGCTAGGAAGGGACGAACTCTATGATTGATGGGAAGGGATGAATTTTAATTTAGGTTCGTACCCTTACGAAATGTAAGTATACAACGTTTCATACATATACTACTTCTCATTTACTTATCACCTTCATTTGCATAGGATAGATTATAATGGCGGCCTTCTTGTTGAAAATAACCGAAATTTCTTACCCACAATATCCGAGAATAGTGGCCATTTTGCGTAACATATTGGTAAATCTGAGCCCTCACTGAATGCTTCTGTTCTACTTCAAAGGTAGAAATGAAATTCCACCTTGGGATGGATCGTTATCCCACAACCCTTTTTGATATCTATTAGGTTATCTTGAAACAAGAGTGAGAACTGGGTCGGGTTTCATCTTCGGCGGTGCGGCGCTAAGACACAGGGGATGATAGGGGACGTCCCCCGGGGTTAATTAGGTCGGTCTACTGGGCCGGAAGACGCAGTTCGACGTTTCGGCGTGTTTGTTTACTTTTCATCCACCACGGAGAGGGCGGCTCGCTTTAATCTGGCCATAGTGGTGGTTTTCGAACGTTTGTTTAAAATTTGTACCTTGAAAGACTCCATTGTCCGGGTTTGTGCGGAAAGCCGCGATGTTTTCCTTGGGTTGACGCAGTGTTTGCGGAGTGTTCTGGCTGGAGCCGCCGCCGTCGCCGCGGGTGGGGCGCATTGAGAAGCAATGGATGGAAATGTAATAGATCCACCCCAGGGGTCATTATATAACGTGGATTAACGAAGGGAAAGAATAGAACTTTTAATTTGAAAAATCTGTAATATAGGGCATCATTCAATACCAAAGCTACCAGTAGAACGAGCCAAAAACACAAAACAAATTAGTCTTCAGCCTGTTATGTTTTGAACCAACATTGTTATGTAAGGCATAATGCAGTTTTAGCTTAGTTTTGGCTGAACTCTATTATATGTATTTCTTTTATTTTGTACTCCATGCCAGTTTTAACTAGTACTGTATATCCAGTAGTTTAGGAAAACAAGATCGAACTTATATTTTGAAATACGTAGGGAAAAGGATATTTCATTTTAATCTGACACACAAAAACATTATCCAAGAGTCAGAACTCATTTTACCACATTCGAATTCCGAGGTATTTCAAATTCACCTCTTTACCATACAATTAGTATTCGAGTCTGGAAGGAACACGTGAGGACAAATTTCAGAACCCTTAGGTATTCCATCACTGAGACATGTGGATTCTTCAGACTATGTTCTATATAGCCCACCCAAGCGGAAGGGCTAATAAACCTCTAATGAGACTGGAGCGGGTTAGCCCTGTCAACCCTCTTATCTTGACCAGCCCTAATGTGGCTGCCAAATTAAGAACCTATTAGCTGACGAAAAATGTCAACAGAGGCGCGGGCCGAAAGGGAATTAGGCAAAAAGAATTCCCTTTCGGGGGGTTTTAATGTTTCATTATTCCTCTCTTTTGATCAATCGGATGACAGGAATTCTTTGATTGGGGCTGACGGAGAAAAACTAGTGGCCGGGCCTTTCGAAAGTGAATAATGTTTTTATAATGTGATATGATTTTGATTTGTTCCACGTTTGTAGACCAGTTTGGTGTTGTTGACAAAGAAGTATAAAAACGTGTTTCAGAATATTTTCTAAAGTAATATTTTTTTATTTGATTGATAGCTTATAGCTTAAATGAGTATTAATTTTTATTCTGAAATTTTCTTTTCGATTTCCTAAAGAGATTTTTTAAATCGTGTTTTTCTCATACGATTTGCTCTTATAAATGGAACTTTACTACAATATTCTCAATCATACAAGTATTTACTTTTAGCACTTTTATTTGCTAGAAATTATGGCATGTGTCCCCTTAGTCATCATAACTTGTCCTAAGTAGAGGTTTAGATCTAGGTCGGTTTACTAAAGTACGAAGATTGCTAATCAGATGTTGACCGTCAGCTGGTCCGTGGTCGCCAGCTGTCCTCTCCTGTATCAGCTGATTGCGACATCTCGTGGTCAGACAAAGCTGAGGATAAACGTGGATTACCAACCACCAGATACAATCAACGGAGACTTGTGCCTAACCGTCTGTTTTGTAAACAAGACTCCGACCAATTCAGCAGGTCTCAATAACTCGGGGTTGCGTCTGGTCTGAATACTGTAAATCCTCAAAGATACCATCAGTTCCTACGTTTCACCTGTGATTCCCCATGGCAAGATGCGAAAAGATTGTGGGCTGTGGGTGTGGAGCTTCCTTACTTTGTTCGGAATAGCCATTTAAATTATTCAACGATTTGACGAATGTAGGTGATCGAGTATAAGCAATCGTATTTAGTTATCAATCAGAAGAACCAGGATCAACTGACCAAAAGTGTATATTTAACGAAAACATCCCCTTATCTACTCCACCTACTTTTTATCTAGTAGATGATCCTTCGTATGTATTTACATGCTACATTTTCAAGTATTCGCTTCAACCATATGTAAATTATGGTGTGAAACCATAATGACATTACTGATTTATAAACAGAAATATTTGAATCTGTCAAACTCCCGCATATTTGCTTAGAGAAAATGCTATTTTTATTTTCATAGTTCCAGAAAGTACATGACAACTTGTACAACTTGGTATTAATAACAAAAAACAGCACGGAAACAAATACATGGAATGTTTTCATTCAAATCGTATGCCAATGTGCTAAAATATTATGTAATTTAATGTATATTCTTAGATTAGATAAAAACAAAAAGCAGTTGACTGATCGCTGATTTAGAATTTGAAAAGTCATCAACACCGAACGACATACGCACTCAACTAGTCGACTATTCATCAGAATATGAGTGGCTGGACCATTTAGATTAAAATCTCTGTGTAAATACTTAATTAAGATGATATCAGTTACATTGATATACAATTCTTATAGCTATGAAACGCTTGATAGCAATTTGTACTCCCAGGCTGTAGCTACATTAAATACAACGGATAATGGTTGAACTGGAAAAATTAATCCTTTGAACTTCAATATTCAAAAGGATAGCAAACATGTGAACTCGTACAAATGCAAGTAAAATCCATCCTATGTGTGATCCTCAGTTGTGTGTTCTCCACTAGAGCAGCGTTGTGGATGGACGGAGTGTACGAGTTGGCGAGGAAGTGTATCAGACTTGCAGAAGTGAACGGTACAGAAGACGATGTGACAGACCTGTTGATGGGATACCTCCCCGACACTCGGTCCGGCAAGTGCATGTTGAAGTGTATGCAGGAACACGTGGGCATCCTAGTGAACGGAACTTACGATTTGAAGGGAACATACCTCTTCTTCAGGAACACCTTTCCTGAGAATCCCTTCCACAAGAATATGGAGAGAGCTGTTAGGTTTTGTGGGAAGATAGGTGAGTAGGATTTGAAATCAAATGAAATAATCATAGTATTCTACTACCTTTAAGACTTGGTGTTGGATTTGGATTTAACCGTCTTCATTTTTTGTATGAAAAATAGTTAATTTTCTTTTCATATTCGAAACACAATAAGACATTCTTAACAGAATCTTTAGGAGTTTGTGTTAAAACATGAGAAAGGAAGCTATATTTGTTGTATTATCTAGTAAGAAGCGCACCTCAACAAATAATTTGTTAGCTAGGTCAGAGGTAATCCTCACTAAATTCGTAAATGAAATGCTGTATAATGTACTAATATATCTATACAATCTAGGGCTTTAGTTCCATATTTGAAATAAGAACAGATGTGCCTTAATAAGGTATGGATGGTTACTGTAAAGGATTTTTCTTCACAATCCATAGGTAGTAGTTTTTGATTAGTTATATTCTAAGTAAATATATTATCCTCGCACTCCAAATGACGTATTTTGTCTAACAGTGGAGAAGAGGCGTAGTGAAGACATGGACCCGTGCCAGTACGCTCACATGGTCGCAGCGTGCGTCAAACGACGCATTAGGTTCAGACCAGGCTGCAGGTCAGCCTTCTACAACCCCTTTAAGTGGAAAGATCCCTCTAAGAGAGTCACCATCAAACCGGGGAAGAAATACTTCGTGCCTGACCCGAGGTTCATGCAGAAGGTAGAGTTTGAGATCATCACCCGGCCAACCAGGAAATACACACTGGGCGATCTGAACACAACCCTTGCTTCAGGGGAGAGTGTAGAGGCCGGGGCGTACGTGTGGACACCGCCGAAGAAGACGAGGAAAGGGAAATGGGGAAGGAGGCAGAAGGAGGAGATGAGAGAGAAAAAGAAGAAAGCTAAAGAAGCTGAGAATGGAAGTGTAAGTGGGATGGACATATCTGAAGACGACGAAACCTTGGAGAAGTCTTCAAAGACTAGGAGGCATAAGAAAGATTTTGTTATATAGTAAATACATTTTTATACATTATACGTATAGTGAATTCACATAAACCATCAATACATTCTAAAGTAACATTCTAATTTGTACTCTATTGTACGTTCAATATTTAAGTCTTAAACATATTAACACTATCCACTTCGCATTAGGGATCCCAATTAGTTAATAGTCAATAATTTTTGTTCTAGTACTTTAGGTTGCATTTTTCGACGTCATCGTTGCTGCACTCCAGTTGAAAATAAATATATAAATTTACCAATAGTTTAAAAATGAACTTAAATACAATGATTGCAAACTACAGGTTCAACTCACGTTATATGCTATGATAACATACTATTCTCACAGTCAAATGAAAAAATCGAAACAGGATCTTAAGCAAACTATCACCCTCTAGGTCCGGTTCTAGGGTTAACGGGCCTAAACGGCCCCACAAACTGGAAAATGACCGGCCTGTCTTGTCAAAACGGCTTGTAACTAGATTAAACGGACGTTTCGGTTCTCGCGGGCCGTTGCATGGTCGGGACCCGCGGTGCTGCGGACCAACCCCTACGACACCCCATGCTAACGAGTCTCCCCATTCATCATGGCTCGTGTGATTATACATTCGGCCTCACGGTGATAAATAACAGGCGTCAGATTTACATGGTAATCCCACATTAGCGTCTTTGTTGGCGGGAGTTTATCTCGTACACAAACACAATGTGGAAAATCGCTGTTGGGATCTTTGATGTTGCCGAGACGGCTTCATTAGGTATACTTCAGTGCCACGCAAAAAAATCCGACTATAATAGTGCATCATTATTATGTAGAGAAAATATTTTTTGGTTAGGCTGCACTAGATATGTAGGCCTACTCTTGTTCGTAACCTTTTTGAAGTTGAGCTGGACGTTTAAAATCAAAACCCATTTTAGTACACAGTTTTACTATTCAAATAACCCTTCTCTAAAAAAATACACTAAAACAAGCTATCGAACATAAATTATATTTTCCAACTTTACTCTTGTTTTCACTCCACACATACCTGCTTACGAAAAAATTCTATTAAATCATAACATTTTTCCTATTTTGGAGACTAAATACAAAATGTTACAATTATCGTCTTGAAAATTTTTTACTAAGCTATCCCTTGTCCTGCTTCAACAATCAGTGCCTCTTATCTAAAAGTTCCTTTTAGGTTGTCCTTTGTTTACTATTATAGCCAGGAACAAATCTGGGAGGATGTCCCAGGAAACCCCCACAGATTATTAAAATCTGTAACACATTAACGACTATTTTTTATACAAATGCAACAAGTGTCAAACTATCAGGTATCTCAAATAAAGAGCTTTAAGACATTGTTTGTTAGTTGTTGTCTTACTGGCAAATGTTTCATTATAAACATTCAAAAATCTTAAATCGGTCTGAAATCTCCAATAATTGCGAATTTAATTGATATATTTTAGAGAAATAGCATAATGCTGTACTATAATCCACACATTTTTGCCCTTTAATTTAAATACTCCTCCAATTGCTGCACTGATCTGAATTGAAACTGAATTGAAGCACGTAAATTAATTTAGCTACTAATAAAGCCGAAAACGGTGTCATGGATTTTATAAAAACCCAATCTACTTTGTCCTGTGATAGTATCTTTTCCGAACTCTGAATTAACGACATTCCAAAACGTAATCGGATTCAGGGTTGATCCGCTTGGATCATTCCGGGCAGTTGGACCTGGACGTCGCCAACCACCGGAGCCCAGGGACGGAGACAATGCAGGGAATAAATCCCCTTCACAGCGTTCACGTTCGGAACTCTATACAAAGCTGACGCCTATTTTGGGGTAACATTCGATACGGTCAGGGCATCCCTGAATGGAAGGGATTTATTTCGAATCCCCACACGTGTGCATTATGCCAATTACGTATAAGGTAGGTAAAAATTTCATAATTTGTAAGTTTTGATGTAGTCCTTTAATTTCATCACTTCTGTCCATGTTCTCCACGGCTCATTGACAACGGTTAGCTATTATATATATATATATATATATATATATATATATATATATATATATATATATATATATATATATACAGTGAATGAGTTTGTATACGTTATGTAACAACCTATTTACTGATATATGGCTTGCCAAACATAGGAGTTACCAAAAGCAATTAATTGTTTATATTTTTGTTTGTTTGCCATTAGCATATACCATTTTTCTTTTTTTTGTGATCATGGTGGGTCATTATCACCACCTAGGAATTTTTTCCTTACGTCAAGGAACCTTCACTAGAAATAGAAAGCAGTAATTTATAGCCCAATGTTGAAAGTGCCCAATCGCCAATGTTCAACCTCCATGCTAAGAATTTATAAGCCTAAGTGCTTAAAAATTAATTATTTTTCACCATAGAACAATTGCTCAAACAGGTTATAAATTTAAAAGTACAATCAATATTAAGTCGAAGGAAGAGGTTTCAGAATCCAGTGGCAAATGGAATTTTGAATCATATTTCAGCATACATCATATTTAGCATACGAATCATATTGACTATAAATTTACGCAGATTCTGTTGAAAATTTACATGAACTTGATTGAATATACTCGTGTATGCATACAATTATCTGTTCGCTATATGGTTGAATTATCCAACGTCGATTAGCCATCAATCGCAGATTCGCCATATAGACCTAGGCATCTAGAATTCATATTCAAGTAGATTGTGATGTTAAACATTTGAATATGTTAAACACGTTTGTTGAAACCCACCTGAGGGTTGCGAGATGGAATTATTTACATGTAAACGAAGCGACACTCATGCAGCGTGGGGATGAGGTTACTCACAAAGGGTGGTAATGTATGGAAATGTATTCGGGGTTGTAAGGCCCGTGGATGCAAATTATCGATCAAATTGATTTTATCCGACGGATGATTTGTAGAAAGTGTTAATCATTGAGGTGATGATGGGGAAGGAATTTTAATGATGGGCTGCAGGAGTCTAGAGTCTACCCCGAGCGGCGCGGCGCGGGCCGAGAGGCTGCTATCGCGGGGTAAAAAAACCAAGATTGACACCCTGATAGCCTTTGTGTCCGATCGTATACTTTGGGCCCGAGTATTGTTACTGGGAACTTCTGTTTCTTGTTTTGACAGGGTTGGATTTGATTTCATTCTTTTTTATGACGCGGAATGAATTTGAATGGGTTAAAGAAATATCTTATTATCTTCGTGCTCTTTGGATTATCTTGTTCCATCGTTGAGGGGTGGAAAAGCATCCCTTACATAGACAGTATAGAAAGGTTAAGTTTGCGCAAATGAAGTTTCGTCATGACAAATATTGGACCAATATAGATTAGACAAATATAGATGGAAGACTAGTTTTGCAAATTAAACCATAAAGGACTTAATCTCCAAACTGTTTAACGGATAATAAAGAATTTGAGTTTTTTTTTAATATTCGATACCATGTTTAATCCTGTGCTTAAATGGTTTAAAAAAAATAAATTACGCAGCTTTTCTTTGCTTCGCGTTTCCATTATATAGTCAAAGAACCCCTAATATGTAAGCAACCAAAACTTCCATTCAACCCAGCAAAAGCAGGCACGGGCGATTGCGTCTGCAATAACAACATCCATAGAATAACAAGGCGCAGGATCAGTTACACAGAGGTATCAGATGTGCCATTGTCAGCTGCTTACAACGATACCTGCTGATGCCGACCACCCTTCATTACGAGAACAAGGGAGAATGGCGAGCCGCTGTCAAGAGCAAGTCCCTTGTTAGGATAACTTGGAATATTTTGTCAATCCAAAGAAAGTTACATTTCACGGGAGACTTGAAGATATAGGGGAAAATAGTTTAAATAAAAACAAGATAGTTTTGATGCTCTTAAATGTCCCATTTTAAAAGGCGATGTCAAGAGTCGAGTCTTTTTTGGATGTCTTAAAATATATTGCGAGTCTTAAGAATCCTCATCACTAGAGGCTTGATGATTCAGCGGGGAAGAAAGTCAATATATACAAGGCAAATTTACGTTACATTCAAAGGGTAGTCTCACTGTCCTATACATTACGTCTGCTACTCCCATTGCCCTGACTATTTATGATTCTCTTGTTTATAAAGCTGCACTGGAAGTAATAATCGAACTAATTGTATTGAAAAATTCATAATAACATTATGTTCAGCACATTGCACAGAGATGTCCATCTCTTGTTAGGTGATCTTGAACCTTTTATCAAGTAACGGTAGATAATTATGATTTCACCTCCTCTCCAGCAGCAATGCCCTGGTGACCCCCGGTAATCCAACACCACCTCTCCCACGACACCCGTTGTTGTCCCAGTCCAAATCCAATTGTTTTATTGACAAAATGGCGCCACTTCCTGTGACTTCCGGCCCAAATATTGTCCCAGCTACCGATGTTAGCTTAGGATTGATCGAAGCACTCCGGTTACCTTGGAACTAGGTCGGTGTTTTTGTCTGTCGGTAGCATTCAGGTAATTCTATATGTCCGATCACAAAAACCCACCTCAAGCCACCGGCCCTTGGCTTTGTGCAGTTCACGTGTGCTCTGTCTAACTCTGAATTGGACTAATTTATCTTCCACCCGGATCGCGTTCAGCTCCAGGTTGGAACAAAGGTGAGTTAGGAACTGTGAATGGCGGGGCGTAAGGTTCGACAGGTAGATTAGGACTTACAGAATATCCTAGGTTTTGTGTTTCATGAAATATTGGTGCTACCGAGAGTGCATCTATGTCCACATCTTTCATAGGTGCCAGGTTATGAGTATGATGTGAGCACTTGAATTGAAGTGCTTTTGAATCAAGGTTTATAAACCAAATACGTTTTGGTACAAGATCTTCATAAGGACACATTGTGTGGCTGTTAGGCTACTTTTGGAAAAAACAAAATGCTCAACGAAAGTGTACTTGGATTTCCAATTACCATAACATGCAATCTTAAATTGTGATAAGAGGTTGATCTCCATGTAAAATCTTCATAAATGGTTTCCATGGACTAGGCCTAATTATGAGATTGTATGTGCTGTTAACAGTA